TTGCCAGTCCACACATGACGAAGTTGTTCTAGGACGATGTCGCATTGGTCACATATTTTGCTTGACTGTATAGACTTTTCTCTCACAAGAGATACCTATTATCATTCAACTTCTTTAAAGGATCTTTTTACTAATATAAATGGCCGTTTAATTCTCAGTTTTTTAAAAGAAATTGAATTATTTGATAAATTTTGAATTGTTTTAAATTAGTGTGATATTATTAACTTTGCTTTGCCTGTTGTTGAACGCCACACTCGGCAATATTCCAGCTATATGACGGCGGTCTGTAAAATAATCGAGTCTGGACCAGACAATCCAGTGATTGACTGATATTATTAACAACTGAGATTATTGAAGGCTGTGCCACTCAGGGGCTCAAAGTCGTGTATAATTATTGTCCCCCTGGCAGTCCATCTCTGTTGACGTGTTTAATATCAACTAGTGTTTTAATGTATTGATTGTGCGTATATTTTTTTAATATTGGTTAGCACTTCAATCAACCACTCGTGACCAAAGTGATGGCATAAATCCTGCCGGGAATCACGCAGGAAGCAAAGGCAGTGTAAGTCCCCATGATTCCCAGTTAGGTGGTCTAGATTTGGTTGCTAGTGGTCTGTTTTATATCTAAACTGTGATATTTACCTTACTGTTTTACTGTCCTTTGTCGACAGGTCTTTAATTATAGAAACTACCTTGTTCTCATCGCGATATGTCTGCAATACTGCCGATGCGATGTAAAATTTTAACTCACTCACTCACTCACTATTCTCATACAAGAACTATCACAAAAAAACCGTCTAGTACAAAAACATTCCTTTGTTATTGAATTGCAATGTAAGATACCCCAGATACATCTGCAAATGTAAAAGCTGCAGCACTAGGGTTCTGAGGAGACAAAGATTCCACTTCCCTACATTCATCTGAAACATATCAGTCAACTGTTTTATAAAAAAATGATAAATATTAATGGGCTTAGAGTGCAGATATCTTGCTGCTGATTACATAACTTTACCATCATAGTTTTACAATGTAGTAAAGTTTTGTCTGTTCAGAGTTTGTAAGTGGGAGTGGAAACAATGAATATCTAAACTGACATCCAAAGTCTATCTGAAACACATAACCTAAACACAACAACAGTGTATGCAGAAAATGTTAATCGTCTGTTACATATTTGCGAGATAACACGCGAAAAGGTTAAAAACACGTGCACCACGGACAACTGCAAATGCACGTGCGGGTAAGGGTATAAAACGATTGCAACGGCAAGTCAGACATCCACAGTGATAAAAAAAACACAAAAGAAATGCCACGACTCACAGTCGAACAACGTGAACGAGCCTTGGGTATGGTACAGATGGGAGCCACCCACGCCCATATTGCACGAACCTTCGGTTGCTCCCGTGTTGCCGTTACCAACTTGATGCAACGTTACAGACAGACAGGGCGGACCGCTGACAGGCCAAGAACAGGCAAACGTAGGGTGACTACGCCCCATGATGACCGGTACTTGCGTACCTTGCACCTCGCTTCCTGACTGTGACGTCATCGGCGACAGCTCAGCGTTACATGAATAACATTCTTCGTCCTACCATTTCTCCAACAGCAGCCACGTGCTGTCATATATCAGCATGACAACGCTGGAGCCCATACAACCAGAATTGTCACTAACTTCCTCGCAGCCATCAACGTCCTGCCGTGGCCTGCACGCTCACACGACATCTCTGGGACTGAATGGATCGTCGTGTTCGACAACGACCACACTCTCCAGCCAACCGGCAAGAACTGATCTTGGCCCTCCAAGAAGAATGGCGTCAAATCCCGCATGACTTCATCAGACGACTGACTTTTTCTGTGCGTCGAAAAGTTTTTGCGTGTAATGAGGCATTTGGTGGTCACACACGCTACTAACGAGTTGTTATTGAACGTAAGCGAATGTTTATGTACTCTGCATATTGTCCATGATTCTGAAAGCTCGAGTTTTGTACCACACCCAACTTTGGGGGGCTCTGACGTCATTCTCGGTCGCGGTATGATTGTCATTTTCAGTGTTGATTATGTTGATATATTGATCTTCTCAATACACTTTACTTCAGGCATGTATGTTTGTTGTTTTTGATTTCAAACTCTGGTAAAGTTTCTTTTGGACGTCAGTTTATTTTGTTGAGGACCTTCACATTTCAGGTATCAATATGTAACTATATATGCATGAAATATTTGAAAGACATTGCCAAGCCTGTGCGCATTTAGCTACAGAAACAGTTTTACTTTTTGTGTATTTTCCTTTTGTGTATTGTATTCCAGACATATACGGTCACAGATTGGGCGAACACAGCGAACGCTTTAACCACTAGGCCACCCGACCGCCCCTACATATACACAGAGATTAACATAGCCATCAAACAATGGTGATAAAGGACGACAGGAGATGAGGTACAGGAACGAAGCATGTAGGATTTATTAGAAATATACGATTCCTCCAAGAATTCGAAATATAACATGTTAAATGCTGCACAGATGATCCGAAAGCAAGGATGTCCGTTCCCAACATCTCAGAAGTCGAGAGTCTCATCGTAGGAGCTTGTCGACGACGTGGTGTAGTGTTTGACCGATTCCACCGTTACATAATCCAGCGCGTACGGGTTCCAATCACTCTCACGGCATCAAACTCGGACCAGTTATTGATGGTGGCAAGGTCAAGGTCGAGTCGTATGGCATTAGACTTGAAGGGAGGAGGCTGACAAAAAAAGAAAGTAAAATGGCTTTTTCTGTGTCTCAATGATTCAATAAGGCAATTAAATGAATCCATTCCCCGTGTACTAACGAGTGGGTGATGTAAATTAAGTTTTGAAAGGTATTTCAGTTGCATCAAGCGTGACAGCTTAGTGAATGGAAGAGTGAGTGAGTTTGGTTTTACGCCGCTTTTAGCAATACTCCAGCAATATCACGGCGGGGGACACCAGAAATGGGCTTCACACATTGTACTCACGTCGGGAATCGAACCCGGGTCTTCGGCGTGGTCTTTAACCAATAGGCTACCCGACCGCCCCGTGAATAGAAGAGACAGTTTGGATACATTTACTCTTGTAATTAACCGTTGAGGATTTAACAAGGATCATAAACTAGTGGATCTAGGGTTCGAACCCACGCCAACGCTACCTCTTGTGACGAATCTATTTCTCTATGTTGCAGCCCTTTATTTCCGTAAAAGGATAATTAATGTATCCCTGCAATATTCCATCTATATGACGGCGGTCTGTAAATAATCGAGTCTGGACCAGGCAGTGACATAATGAGCATCGATCCACGCAATAGGGATACGATGACATGCATCAACCAAGTCAGCGAACCTAACCACCCGATCTCGTTAGTCTTACGACAAGCATAGTCGCCTTTTACGCCAAGCATGGGTTGCTGAAGACCTATTCTACCCCGGATCTTCACGGGTCCTATGATCGTAGGTTTCGGGCACGCCCTAAAGACGCAACTCGAGGGGCACGAAAAACTGCGACGTACGCCACCCGTGCCCCCCTGAAACATGGTACTGTTGTCCTCGCCACTTGAAACAGAATCACGAAATATCGCGATGATTAATTAACGAAGATAGCTGCATGTGTGTCTATACTTATAAAGTGAAAAAAAGCCATTCCGACGGTAAGAAACATTACTTACAGTCATGACAAAAATTGGAAAGTGTGTTCTCCAAGAAATATCTATTTTGCCAGCTATAAACATCGTCATTGAGTTTTGATCACATGGTAACAATCCGACTGGGATCGTCAGTCAGGTCACCGCGAGCGACGATCTTTACGCACATTACCAGCACGAACTGAACGAAAAGCACGTGCAGATAGTATTATACGCGCTATCAACCAAATTCACTGCTGACTATAACCGCTCACAGTCACCTGACTGTCGATTCTTGCCCGGATTGTAACTACGTGATAAAAACGCAATGATGATGTTTATCGATAAAAAAGTGGATATTTCTTGAAAAGCGCACTTTGCAATAATTGTCATTATTGTGTGTGAGTGAAATATAATTTGACGTCGCATCGGCATTATTACAACAATATAGCGACGAGAACAAGTTGATATATACACAAGTGAGTCTTGAATACAAAGTCATATTTTTCAAACATATTTTAGCCAAACAATATTATTTAACACTGTTTAAAGCACAGGCTCTTGGGCACCAGTAACCATAGCTGGGCCACCTCGCTGGGGATCATGGGGACTTACGGTATCTCTGTTTCCTGCAGGATACCCCAGCAGTATTTACGTCATCGGTTCAGCTACTGGGGATAGTGCACAATACCAGCCAGTATAAAAAAAGTCTAAGCAATGAGTTGGCTACAAACACTTTTTCACAATCATTTTGTAAATCCGTCTGTAAAAATAGATCTATGAGAATTATATTTTGTCCGTAATTAATTATATGCCTTTTGATATACCAAAGGATTTGTCTCGACATTTTGTAGTAGTGTAGATATATTTGATGTCAAAAGACACTTGGGTGAGATTCTCCATTTTATTAATCATCGTGATATTTCATGATTCTGTTTTAAGGGGCAAGGACTGTCAGCCACACATCCTCATACAGTTCACGCCAACGTCGTGCAGCTACTGGAGACGTTAGCATTGAGACCGCCTCCGTGGTCTAGTGGTAGAGCGTCCGCCCGGAGAGCGGAAGGTCCGGGGTTCGATCCCCGGCCGCGTCATACCAAAAAACGTTAAAAGATGGTACTTGTTGTTACCCTGTCTGGCGCTCGGCATTAAGGGGCCAAAACAAGGACTGGTTAACTCGGAGTCAGTATACTGTGTCTGAGTGGGGTATTCATGTTAAACTGCGGCATGGTATCTCAGTGAGCTAGCACTATAAATCGGCATCAGTCCGGACTAGTACAAGCAGCCACACAAACACACACACGTACATGCACGTCGCTATATAAGTGCAATAATCTTGGACGCGATGTTAAACCCCATTTCACCGTACCTCACCGTTAGCATGGATCGATGTACGCATCTACTGTCATAACCTGGAAATTTATCATCATAAAAAAGGCAAAGTGAACACAAATTATTCATCACGAAATTCACCAGGTTGTTATTACACTGAGGGTAAGCGGTGCAAAACACATTGGAGTATACTCAGGTATATTATAAAATAAAAACCCACTGAACAATAAAATTCTTTGGCAATTGGATTGGACAATTAGACTGCAAATGATCAATTTTAGTACTTCCTTTACAGATCCATAGAACTTTCACAAACGCGGCATAAAATGTTCTTATTTTTTATCCGAGTCTACTTTCAGTAATGATAAAAACAATGCGATGCACCTTGCCGTGGGTGATACTGCCAGCGCTCGTCGTGGCTTAATGCATTACGAAGCGTAAAGAACTTATCTTAGATGTTGTTCCTTTGCATAAGTAATTTACGGGGAGATTATTCATTTCTTAATTACTTTATCTGGCACTTGATGAGGCGCTGTATTACATAAAGTAGGCAGTGTACGGGTCTACCAGCCCAAACGTTCACAAATTTGAAATACAATAGAATTATGGGACTTCTACGTTTTCCGTTCGCGTCTGCAAAATTGTTACAGTAATAAAAAGTGCAAATAGTCAAACAGGAGGAGGAAATTCGATGGTAACGTTTAAAACATTTCTTCCTTTTCACGGGCGGTCGGGTGGCCTAGTGGTTAAAGCGTTTGCTCATCACGCCGAAGACCCGGGTTCGATTCCCAACATGGGTACAATGTGTGAAGCGCATTTCTGGTTTCCTTCGCCGTGATATTCCTGGAATATTGCTAAAAGCGGCGTAAAACCATACTCACTCACTTCCTCGTCACATAGTTCTTAATTCTTAATGGATCGATGTTTATTATTACATATTTCATACATTCTTCTAAGAGGCCCAAGTACTCCTGTCGGAGAAAAATGGTTACCACAAAGCTTGGCACAAAGATGCGACTCTCTTCGATGGCACTGACGGCAGGGGTGCTCCACACTGGCACCCAGTTGGAGTTCGAAATTCACCAGGTTGTTATTACACTGAGGGTAAGCGGTGCAAAACACATTGGAGTATACTCAGGTATATTATAAAATAAAAACCCACTGAACAATAAAATTCTTTGGCAATTGGATTGGACAATTAGACTGCAAATGATCAATTTTAGTACTTCCTTTACAGATCCATAGAACTTTCACAAACGCGGCATAAAATGTTCTTATTTTTTATCCGAGTCTACTTTCAGTAATGATAAAAACAATGCGATGCACCTTGCCGTGGGTGATACTGCCAGCGCTCGTCGTGGCTTAATGCATTACGAAGCGTAAAGAACTTATCTTAGATGTTGTTCCTTTGCATAAGTAATTTACGGGGAGATTATTCATTTCTTAATTACTTTATCTGGCACTTGATGAGGCGCTGTATTACATAAAGTAGGCAGTGTACGGGTCTACCAGCCCAAACGTTCACAAATTTGAAATACAATAGAATTATGGGACTTCTACGTTTTCCGTTCGCGTCTGCAAAATTGTTACAGTAATAAAAAGTGCAAATAGTCAAACAGGAGGAGGAAATTCGATGGTAACGTTTAAAACATTTCTTCCTTTTCACGGGCGGTCGGGTGGCCTAGTGGTTAAAGCGTTTGCTCATCACGCCGAAGACCCGGGTTCGATTCCCAACATGGGTACAATGTGTGAAGCGCATTTCTGGTTTCCTTCGCCGTGATATTCCTGGAATATTGCTAAAAGCGGCGTAAAACCATACTCACTCACTTCCTCGTCACATAGTTCTTAATTCTTAATGGATCGATGTTTATTATTACATATTTCATACATTCTTCTAAGAGGCCCAAGTACTCCTGTCGGAGAAAAATGGTTACCACAAAGCACAAAGATGCGACTCTCTTCGATGGCACTGACGGCAGGGGTGCTCCACACTGGCACCCAGTTGGAGTTCGAATCCCGGATTGACACCGATTCCACGGCACCAGCCCAGAAAACCTCATAGATGTGGATCTCCGTGATGTAGATGGCCTCGGGTATGCCGAGCTGGAAAGAGGTGATCGTTAATAAAAATATTTATAATAAAAACTATAATAATAAACAGAATTCACGGTTGTAACGTCATTACAAAATGACACAGTTCTATTTATTCAAATAATAGACCAACGGATCCCGTTAGTCGCGCTTTAGGACAAGCATAGTCGCCAGTTACGGCAAGCATAGGTCGCTGAAGACATATTCTAACTCGGATCTTCGCGGGTCATTATCAAGACATAAAGGGTGGTAATCACGACGTACAGGGTTGTAATCATGACATATGGGGTTGTAATCGCAACATACAGGGTTGTAATCATGACATATGGGGTTGTAATCACGACGTACAGGGTTGTAATCATGACATGGGGTTGTAAACATGACGTACAGGGTTGTAACCATGACATGGGGTTGTAAACATGACGTACAGGGTTGTAACCATGACATATGGGGTTGTAAACACGACGTACAGGGTTGTAATCATGACATATGGGGTTGTAAACACGACATACAGGGTTGTAATCACGACATACAGGGTTGTAATCACGACATACAGGGTTGTAATCACGACATACAGGGTTGTAATCACGACATACGTGGTTGTAATCACGACATACGGGGTTGTAATCGCAACATACAGGGTTGTTATCACGACATACGGTGTTGTAATCACGACACATATGGGGTTGTAATCACGCCATACAGGGTTGTAAACGCAACATACAGGGTTGTTATCACGACATAAAGGGTTGTAATCACGACATACGGTGTTGTAATCACAATATACAGGGTTTTAATGACGACCTACGGGTATGTTATCATAGTATACGGTGTTGCAATCACGACATACGGGGTTGTAATCACGATATAAGGGGTTGTAACCACAACATACGCTGTTGTAATCACGACATAAAGGGTAGTAATCACGACATACGGTGTTTTAATCACGACACAAGGGGTTGTTATCACGACATAAGGGATTGTAATTACGATATACGTGGTTGTAATCACGATATATGTGGTTGTAATCACGATATACGTGGTTGTACTCGCAACATACAGGGTTGTTATCACAACATAAACGGTTGTAATCACGACATAAAGGGTTGTAATCAAAACATACGGTGTTGTTATCACGACATAAGGGGTTGTAACCACGATATACAGGGTTGTCACCTCAACATACGGTGTTGTAATCACGATATACGGGGTTGTAATCACGACATACGTGGCTGTAGTTGCAACATGCAGAGTTGTAATCACGACATATGGGGTTGTAATCACGACAAACGGCTTTGTAATCTCACCTCTATGAACTGATCAGCATCCAAATAATCAGGGCACCATGCCAGGTCGGTGTTGCCGTAGCTGGGGTAGTAGTCGGGAGCTCCAACGACGTTGTGACCGCTGTAGTCGTATGCTGTGCTATACAAACAAGTATCACTCTTGACATATGCTAAATAAGTACCGGCAAGGCAGGATGGCCCAGTGTTAAAGCTCCGCTCGCCCCGCCGAAATCCCGGGTTCGTGCCCGTACAGTGTGTGAAACCCATGTCTAGTATCCCCTGTCTGGATATTGCTATGGGAATGCTGAAGACGGTGTAAAACAATACTCACTCACTCAATCAGTGTTGAAGAGTCATCAGCCATTTAATATTCGTACAGGTGCTTTATGACATATGCTACTCAAAAGAGGTTAAGGAACACCCGATTCTGTCATATGACCAGTCGTCTAAGAATCCCAATTCGCCCCGATTATGTTTCTAAGTTTGTCAGCACCACACGCCGTCATCTAACTGGAATTCTGTCAAAAGCGGTGTTATACACAACTCACTCACTCGTGAATTTATGACGTCAATTGTGATGCCTTCATGAGCATAGGTTCACACAACATACCAATATGTTTCTTTGTGCATCGAACTAAACAATATCTCTTGAATATGAGTAAGTCTTCATATACTGAACCAAATTAAAAACTTCACAATCCTAAAATTGTAACATTTTGACCAGTTATCATTGTGGGCCCTTATTGTGTATTGAAACAGTAATGGCCACGTATTGTCTTCAGATAACACCCGTTTTTGTGCAGGTGAATCGATCAAAATCATGTGCACAGCACTATAGTGGCAAAAGTGTTTTTCACGTGCAACTGATCACGTGGCCATAATACCGCACGTGTTTTCAACCATACTTGTTAGCAGTCATTAACAAAAAAAGAAAAACACAAGAAAACAAAAGTCTTTACGGCCATTTGTAGGTGCTTGGAATAAAATTATGGTTACCACCGTTAATTAAAATCCTTCTTTGGACATAAATGATTAAAAATTACCTTCTCTGATACATTTGTCCGTTGTATATCATATATGGGATTACTTTTAAAAATGTGAAGTTTTTAATTTGAGTCAGTATATATGATATTTGTGTGGAAATTTGACGAGGTGACAATTCTTTTAGCTGTTCCCGTGTTCGCTTAGATGAAACCGAGTCGGAGAAATGGCACCGAGAGGGGCACGAGTCGCTATTCGGCTTGTCCCGGAATAACACGAGTTGGTCACGAATGCCGTCAGATGGCTCGTGACCTTTGAACACTCAGTGAGTGAGTGAGTGAGTGAGTGAGTGAGTGAGTGAGTGAGTGAGTGAGTGAGTGAGTGAGTGAGTGAGTGAGTGAGTGAGTGAGTGAGTGAGTGAGTGAGTGAGTGAGTGAGTGAGTGAGTGAGTGAGTGAGTGAGTGAGTGAGTGAGTGAGTGAGTGAGTGAGTGAGTGAGTGAGTGAGTGAGTGAGTGAGTGAGTGAGTGAGTGAGTGAGTGAGTGAGTGAGTGAGTGAGTGAGTGAGTGAGTGAGTATGGTTTTACGCCGTTTTTAAGAGATATTCCAGCAATATCGGCGTGACGAGCGAACTCAAATCATGTACGGAGTAGCATAACATAGTAAAATATAGAGGAATCAGCTCTCACCTGTGATTGATTGATTGATTGTTTGTTTGTTGTTTAACGCCGCACTCAGCAATTCCAGCTATATGACGGCGGTCTGTAAATAATCAAGTCTGGACCAGACAATCCAGTGATTGACATCATGGGCATCGATCCACGCAATTGGGACACGATGACATGCATCAACCAAGTCGGCGAGCCTGACCACCCGATCCCGTTAGTCGCCTTTTACGACAAGCATAGTCGCCTTTTACGGCAAGCATGGGTTGCTGAAGACCTATTCTACCCCGGATCTTCACCGGTGTCTCACCTGCGATGTTGAGTCAGTACTTACTATGAGTATACAGACGATTCTCGTATCAAGGAGGAAATCCAGGTATCCACCGTATCTGCAATCAGACTTTCAGGGTGAGTGAGGTGGGTATACCACGTTCTTCATTTGATATTTTTTTATTCTTTAATTCCGCTCTCAGCTATATTACAGGTATATAACGGCGGTCTGTAAATAATCGAGTCTTGACCAGGCAATCAAGTGATTGGCTGCGTGAACATTATATATGTATTTGGGAAACGATCACATGCATCAACCAAGTCAGCAAGTCTGATAACCCGATCACGTTAGTCGCTTCTTACGACAAGCATAATCGTATTTTACCAGCATGGGTTGCGGAAGCCCTATTGTAACCCGGATCTCCACTCGTGTCTTTGAACGCTGTCAGTATTGACGTTATATCACAGCGCGTCAGCTTACTGTGAGAGGAACACGTGAGGGGTGACAAAATATGTTTGGGTCAATGCCAAACAAATTTGCAGGTCATTTAGGTAATAAATATTATTTTTTTTAAATATTTTGTGAAAAGAAATATATGTTTTAATCTATTATTTTAATCGTTCTTCAGGCTTCTTTTAAGATGGAGGACACGGGTGGCCCAGTCGTCTAAGGCGCCGCGATTAGCTGTGAGAGCAGCGTCCCTTGGGCACGCCAGAAACCTATGATTGTTGGTTTGAATCCCAGTTCGCCCCGATTATGTTTCTAGGTTTGTCAGCACCATACCCGTGCTCGTGGGTTTCATGGAAGTGGTAAACGCATTAGTTCAGGCTTTCCTCCCACAGTAAGCTGACACGCCGTGATAAAACTGGAATGCTGTTTAAAGCGGCGTTTAACCAAACGCACTCACTCACTCTTAAGATATCACTTTTCATATTTATTTAGACAACCGTTTTTATCGTTAACAAGACAATACATAGTACGTTAATGGAATGCTTGTGACGCCAATACTCAATGCTAGAAAAGATTGGATTTTAGATTCTGAAGTAGTGTTTGACTGAGTGAGTGAGTGAGTGAGTGAGAGGAACCTAGCAACAGGGATAAGATGTTGTCAGACCAACCATCAAAATAAAGAAGTAGTGTGGATTCGAACCCCGAGACCGCCGGATCATGGCATGGAATGCTCCAAGTGATTAGGTGACATGACATCCACTACCGTATTCGACGTAATAAGCGCCCCGCTCTAATAAGCGCCCACGGCGATATTTGCTAATATAATGGCTAGAGAACAATCCCAATTGGCACCCCTTCCGATTGATCAATGTACACAAGACTTATTTTTTCGCGTATAATACGCACTCACACCCCTTAATTATGGGCGAGACCGCCCTATTGTTGAAGAAGAGGGACATATATGTCGAAAAGGCACCCAATGGTTTAAGTGATGTCGCTTTTAGACTTTTACCATTTTTGGACTTTTACCATGGGATGGTGCAGACAGACCTGAACACGTAATGAGGGTGAATCTGGGATTCGAATCCAGGTGCTGAACACGTTTATAGCTGGTAGTGACATATTAAACAGATTGTTGATTGTGAACGATAGATGGGGAGGTGAAGGAAGAACACACTTACCAAACTGGAACTGGAGGGTAAAACATAGGTCATGTGTGTTCTAAAAAGAAATACAACAAGGCAGACTTTGTTGAAAACATTGCTGACAGACATATTGCATTTCTCTTACCTGCTAGGATGGCTGGCTTAGGCTCGCCAGTTAACTCATACGCAAAGGCACCTGGAGCCGCTGTCCCTGCACCCAACAGCATATTGTAACACGTGCACTTCAGAGTGCCTGGATCATACGTCATAGCGATCTTGACTCCTTTGAAGTAACAGAAGGCGATGCAGTCTAGTTTGCTTTCAGCATTAACAAACAATTTGGCTGCACCAGCTTGTACATACCCAGAGGTGTGCAAACCTATTGTCAATCTCATGTCCACACACGTTTGGTTAGCGGCAGACAGTTGCACCAATGACAGATAAAATGCGATAGTCCACTTCATGTTCAGCGTTCTCAGATGGTAATAACACAGACGAAATGAACTTTCATTAACGAAATTCAATCAGTGTTTCTTGGCTTATTTAACACAGTCATTTACAGCATGGTCTGCTTAGTTGATTGCCATTGCTCTGCAGAAAGGTTCCGTCCTGCTCAGTAGTCAACTCTCTACTGCGGTCCACTTGTGCCGGCCCCTTGGGCACCGTATAATGTTACGGTATGTGTATTTGTTTAAGTCTAATTTCAAAAGCTTCCCATATGTTGTTTGATAGGCATTACTTAGAAGTTGACGGATGACAAGGTAGACACAATTTTAAGGATAACAACTTCTTTAATACTGTGAAAAGCGTCGTTTCGGTACGGGTCCTTATAACATATGCCCTTAGGTCCTTATGCCAAGCTTCCCATATGGTGGGATCAATAGTCCTGTTGGTGGATAAACCAATATCTATTCTGTTCTACACTTGAAAAGCAAGTTCTTTTGGGTCGTTTCTAAGTGACGCCAGAAAGAGTTTTCCAAGGGATTACTAAACATGATCGGCACGTAGGGCAAGGAAAGAAAACCTTGTCAGAAGCACATTTTTAGAATGAAAAGGTCTTCCTATCTTCTTTGCTCGGTATCTAAATAGGATGAAGAAAATGACTGTTTGTAATATACGGACATTCTTTACTGGCGCAAAACTAACATTAGAACCGGATTTTTACCTGACAAAATCGTTTTTCAGGATGAAAAGAAACATTCGGTTTCATGTTTCATGGCCTATGGCGCATCAATCAATCCATCAAAGACAAATATCGTCCTTGTTGATGAGTCTTATGGCAACTGGCGATAGGTTTACACTATAAACATTGAACAGCTCGTAGGTTCTTGTAACGATGGATAATAGATATTAAAAAATGACGACCAATTATGAGGATTCCCAATATATTGAAAAGTGTTGGCTATTGTGTTCAAGCATACAGATTGTATTCTTACAGATCGGATATAGCCGGTGTGGCTGAGTGCAATTGCTCTTTCACCTTTATCAAGAGCCATGATTCCTGATAATCAGTGGCAACACATGTTGATCATAAACAACATAACTGTATCAGAGATAAAAACAACAATTGGCCTCTAAGCAACAGACAAGAAATCCGTGTTTCCAACATGTATATGAAAATATAAAATAGTGAAAAATCGAGAAATAGTTTTTCTTCGTCTCTGGTGTGCATGAACTCTGAATTGGTTCTGTCGCTTTTTTCAAAGGTCTTTTGTTGCAGTTTTTTGTTCGCTGAATAAGTTCATTTTGAGAAAGATAACATGTTATTACAATAACAGTGGTGCCTTCTTTAGCCCTACGAAAACAATACTCAGTCACGTTGATCGGCTAAAAGTTCAGCTATTGGGACGCTAATGCGCTTAAAGACTTCGGTGAGTAAAGATTGTTTTACGCCGCGGGAAAGATATTGCCGGTCTTTTAAACCATCCACAAAGTCGAAGAAGAAAGACAGATTATTGACTTACGGTGTCGGTAAGCTGCAGCTAAGGCTGAGTGTGTACCCAATTGATCTACGTAATTAAACAAATGGGCACAACATTTAGAAAGCGTTATTAAAATGATCGGAAGGGTTCAAATGAATAAGAATGAAACTTTATACTGGCCTTTTTCGAAATTTAATTTAAATATATATATATAACTAGAATGTGTCAGGACGTGAGTGAGTGAGTGAGTGGGCGAGTGAGTGAGTGAGTGAGTGAGTGAGTATATACACCATATTTAGTAATAGTTCGGCAATTTGACGACGGGGCTAACCAAAGTCGAACCGGGCCTTTGACGTGACGAACGAAAGCTTTAACCCCAAGGCAACCCGGGCAGCACGCCTCGCCTTCGTCCTTACGGCCCTGGCTTTTGTTCAGTGTTTCAGTTCACAGCATAAATGAAACTATAGAACTGGAATAAAAACCACTATTTGGACAATATTGGTCTTATCAGCTAATTGTGTGTTAAACTATTGCAACGTCGTGTGATTATTCACTCTGTAACTGTATGTATGACATAGCTATTGTTGTCCCCTGGGCTTTCTGCAAAGGTATCCCACAAGTGTGGGAGAAACCACAAGAGTGCGTTAGTCAGTGATATATATATGTGTCGCGATCGAGGGCCAAAATTGTTATGATAAATACAGTCATTTATGGTTATAACGAAGTCAGAGGTGAGGTGAACTGAGGTTTAACGTCGCGTCCAAGATTATTGCACTGATATAGCGACGCGGTAAGTTAAACAGAGTAAACTATGGTTCTAACGAACTCAAAGGGACCAGTTATTGTTTGTTCGTGAAATCCGTAGTTCTTTTCAGCAAATGTTCGGGAGCAAACAACAGTTCGTTATATAGTATACTCGTTATAATGGTGTTCGTTATAAAGGTAGTTTACAGTATTATCTGAAATGGCAACTGTATTCACATGCCAACTAAGACTTACAGGAACACAGATCAGACGCACAATTGCACACAGTCACTTTAGTGTAATTATCCACCCAATCCACCACTCCGCTGGAGTCAAGTCTTCGAAGGCGCTGCAAGTAGCTTTGCAGAGCTGCCTCCCTTAGGCGTGCTGCACTCAAATGATCGTTGACTCATCGGGAAACTGTTCCAACTTAATCGCTCACCTATACGAATTACATTAGGTACTTGGTGGCATATTGTAATGCACATATATATGTTTACATATAAAACGAACAGAACACTCCTGTAATCGATATAGCGCAGTTTATTGTTTAAGAAAACATGTCTCGGATGCAGTTTCTGCACAACATTAACACTTGGCGTGGAAAGGGCCACAAAGTTTTCAACGATACATACACATATCAGAGTTAGATAATGTATTGATTACAACAACAGACCTACAAACAAAGGCGACAAAATCCTTTCCATATTTATAAGAAATCTCTGCTAAATCGTCTGCAAAACGTCTTTCAGATTGGATGCATTATACTCGGTCATCGTCAATACTTCACGTGTTTGTGTGACCTACGTTCACCCATGTTCGCCCAGGTTTGTAACCAACGTGCGTGAGTGAGTCAGTGAGTTTGGTTTAACGCCGCTTCTAACAGTATTCCAGTCATATCACGGCGTGTTAGCTTAATGTGGGAGGAAAGCCCGAAGTGATGCAGGCCTCAGACGTTTACCACTTCGGTGAAACCAAAGCAAACGATAGGGTGCTGACAAACCTAGAAACAAAATCGGGGCGAACCGGGATTCGAACCCACAATCATAGGTTTCCGGCGCCCCTAAGGGACGCGGCGCGAATCGCGGCGCCTTAGACGACTGGGCCACCCGTGCCCCTTGTAACCAACGAATCAGTTAAAAACCTGGTTGCAGCGCGAGGTAAGCCAGTTACAGCTCGGCCCAAAGGTTCTAAGCTAACATTACAAAACCGGTGATGTTTCTCGCTTGGCAACGTGTTCAACGTGTCTATAGCCCGGCATGGGTGGCCCAGTCGTCTAAGGCGCCGCGATTCGCTGTGCAGAGTTGCGTCCCTTGGGCACGCCAGAAACCTATGATTGTGGGTTCGAATCCCGGTTCGCCCCGCTTATTTTTCTAAGATTGTCAGCATCATACCCGTGCTCGTGGGTTTAACCGAAGTGGTACACGTCTGTGACCTGCATCACTTCGGGCTTTCCTCCCACATTAAGCTGACACGTCGTGATATAACTGGAATACTGTTAAAAGCGGCGTTAAACCAAACTCACTCACTCACCTACATCAGGGATTACAACAACGGCTCACAAGATTAGACACATGTCGTTGCTGCACCGCATAGTGACCGAAGAATGAGTGAGTGAGTTGGGTTCCAAACAATTATACTCGTATTAACCATATCATCATCGAATAACTACTTTTTGTTTGTTTCATTTTAGCCACCATCACTTTCTTGTGATTTTTTATTTTGCTCGGCACTGTAATATAACAATTACAAAAACAGCTAATATCGATAGTGAGTGAAAACTGGATAACATCATTTGCCTCTTGTAGTGTTTCAGATTAGCGATAATCCCCTGGTCCATCGGCTGGATCTTCGATGTTGTGTTTGGTGGAAGAAACACAAGTTTAATGTTCGTCAGATTGGAAACAGTAGGGTGCGCATGGCAGTTGTCTACAAACTAAAGAGTTTGGAGATTAATCGGGGACTTTTTAACAGCTCGTTGTATCCGTTTGTTCGCTCTAACCATGTTCGTTTTATCCGTATTCTACTGTATATATAATAACTTATCATATGTATGTATGGAAATAAGCATGTTGGTCAGCTTGGAGTGAGTGAGTATGGTTTTCGCCGCTTATAGCAATATTCCAGCAATATCACGGCGGGGACACCAGAAATGGGCTTCACACATTGTACCCATGTCGGGAATCGAACCCGGGTCTTCGGCGTGACGAGCGAACGCTTTAACCACTAGGCTACCCGACCGCCCCTTATATCGATAGGGCCACATGAAAGAACAAAGTGTGCATAGATAATATGAACACCGCCCTTAACTCTTTTACTGTCATATATACTTTTGTAATGATCAATAATGTCTGTTATAGTCAGAAACTCAATTTAGAAACACAAATCCGATATACTTGCTTTTATTGTTACTAGTCTTCGATGTCGAAATGCCCAAAGACGTCCCTCTTTAATATCGTATTGATCATAAATCAACAATCCACTATGAAACAACAAAACGTTCAATACCAGTCCACCTTTAGTGCACATCAACAGCTACTCAATATCTATAAAAGGGTAATTTAGGAACACGGAATCTATTAATTTTCCCCCGAGTACATGGTTCATTTGGTCTTCACTGGACAAACAATCGAAATAAAGATTACAAACAACGAACCTTACACGTTGATTCATTGTTCGGATGTTGCCATGATGATGTAATGACGTCATGGTATTGATATGTTGTTTATGAGTAATAGTACATTGATATTGGACCGGTGGGTGTGATATTTGATATTACTTGAACTTGGATTTGAACTTCCTGCAGATGTAACTGTTCTATATTGAATTTGGGACCGAAAGCGTAGCGTAATGAAAGAAAATTATGGATGATGAGTGATCCTCACATGAAAGCTGGTCATGATGTGATGAACTGCGTGAGAGATGCGAGAGGCATGCTCTTGTCCCCTTATATACCGTCTAACTAGATACTGGAAAGTTCCACACTCTGCCCATACAGAAATAATACAACACAATTTCAATCATTGTTCAACGATAATATACACTGTTATATAACAATGAAAAGGGACTTATCCATAAATAGTAGTTTCCGCAATGATACGGCCGT